ATTGAGGATATCATTCTCATTTATGGGAATGGTTTTAGTACCATTCATTTAACATGTCTTTTTTTTCTATAAATCCCTTGGGTTTTATCTTTGTTACCTTCTGGGAGACAAAAGCATGATACCAGACACCCAGTAACCCAGCTAATCAGATATGTTTCTTCAGAGTCCATCTCTACGTCTTACAGCTGTTTTCCATGTTTCATGTATTAATTTTTCAAAACCACAACAGTTCACCTTTATCTAAAATCTCATCTAATAACCACCCAAGATTTCCGCCCACGTGTTCTGATATATTTCACAACGCAAGTCTATTTCCGCTTTAAGAAAAACACCAAAATAAATAATATGAACAGGAGAGGGAAGATGACAGCCAACAAGAAAAATTTCGGAGGTAACCAAATTATTCATATTTCTGTATTTGCTGATCATGGTAGGCATCATACAGCAGTGTCTTAACTTATGCTCTTGAACAAACGTGACACTCCAGTTTACATAGTACCGGACATTTACATTTGCTCATTTGGGGCCTCAAGAAAACATAGATGCACACAAAATAAATTAGATGAAAAAGGCAGCAAAGGAGGCATCTGGAACATGAAGAAGAGATTATATAACTTTCTTTCAAATAAGCTACACAGTGCTGCATGGAAAATGAGGTTTCCCATCTTGAATCAGGACGAAAGGTCAAAATCTTTCAACAATTTCAAACACTTTTTTTTTCCCTTTTCAAAATGAGAAACCTGTCAAACTAAACCTACTGCTTACATTTTGAGGAATCAGAATTTTCCTGACTAGCTCTAAAGCTGTGAGATTGAGGAAGACTGTCTGTCCACCCAGTACTTTTAGGGAGTCTTAGTTTCTGACTATTGACCCATGACCGATATTCCATAGGAAGCATCAAATAATTACTTCGTCCTGAAAAAGATTTGGTTTAAAGCAACAATTCTGTAAATAATTCCACAAAAGATCATACACTATTACAAAAATATATGATCTTATATCACTGTGGGGTAGTGCCCCTTAAAAAGTAAATTTTGTTCTGTACTTTTCATATTGTTACCTTTTATTTCCTTGAAAAATAGGTATTCACCTTTGCAGACACACTGGACATTCTAACAGCATATCACTAAAGCAAATAAAACTCCCAACAGCAGCAGCAAGTGTAAATGTAGGCTATCACACTCACTCACTCTACGCATTTGTGCAATATGATTTGCTAAGTTAGGAAATCACTTTCTGAGGTTTTGCAAGGACAAGCCAAAAGCTAGACTAGACCTGACACCAAACTTCATTAGGAATCAGTCCTGCAAACATTTAATTTAGGTTCCACCGACAGAATTTGTCACCCTACGACAAGTCACTGCCAAGGAAATGACTGCCCAAATAAGAACAATTAAGCGAGATTTTTCTATGAGAAGAAAACATTAATGAGGTTCCACTTTACACTGATGTTTACACCGCACTTTGCTAACTCGTCCCCTTCACTTGGCAAATAAATCCAGACAGCAGTTATACAATAGCTTTCCGCCCATCGTGCTGCACTAAAAATCAATTACAACTTTTCTCCTAAGTTAGTGTTCAGGGAACCAGTACCTAAAGGTTATTTAATAGTGAATGTGGAAGATTGACTTTGATTTAAAGCTTTGGCTACAGTATGAAAAGATACTTTAATTTCTTTAGCCCTGGCTTTATCTGGTCTTATTTTGATCCTCAATAGCACTGTGAAACCATTACCTTTTTGTCAATACAACAGAAATTTCCACATTGTACTTGCACAAAAGCATAAAAACTTTCTGGAATGGGCTATTTTAAATCACTAGGAATTCATTAGTAAATCTCTCAAAATATTTTCCCACAAATATTCCATCAGATAAAAATGCCAGTCTAGACTCATCTGTGTTCAATTTCCACAAACATTCTAGCAAACATGCTGCCTAACTGAAATGCTCAAGGAAATAATGGATTTTATCCAGGGTCAGAGTTAGGTCCATTGTCTATAGGTAAAGCATTGGAATAAACTAATTACTTGCAAGAGACAATGGGGTATTTTAAAGACAACATTAATTAAAGGATCAATTAGTGTAAATGAGGAAAAAAACTTTTTGAAAAGCTGTCTTGAAGCCTTGAAGCAACTCTAGTTTTAAACTGCTCCATTTTTCGTGGTTCAGACTTTACCTTCAACTTCTTTGAATCCGTGGTAAAATTCACCCCAGCACGGTGAACAGGCATCAATTCCTGTAACTCCCGTAAGGGTTTAAGTGGAGCATAAGTACTTATATAAAGCTCCTGTGCTAGGTGAATTTCATCCTTGATAAATAAATCAGCATGTTCAAAGGAACATGTCAGCACATGAGAAATCAGCACATTCGTTGTAAAGAGTCAGAGCTTTAAGATTTACTGCTTTTTTTTTGCAGGAGATGTCGAGAAATTATATAAAAACCAGTATACTGTACCACTCTTCATAAGATGACTGGCATGTTAGGCCTTTTTTCTCCGCTTACCAGGAGACTTACCTGGGGAGATTGATCTCCACAGTGGTCGATTTAGCGGGTCTAGTAAAAGATTCTAAATTGACTACTGATCATGCTCCCATTAACTCCGGTACTCCAAGGAGTAAGGAAAGTCAATGGCAGAGTTTCCCTTGTCAACCTCCTGCAGTGGGGATGCCACGTAAATTCAAAGTAAGGTACGTCAAATCCAGCTACGCTCTTCACGTAGCTAGAGTTGTGTATCTTAGTTTGACTTTGTCCCCCAAGTGTAGACCTAGGCTCAGACTCCCACAGAGAAGTTCAGAATTAAGGCTTGGTGTACAATAGAAAATTAACTCAGTGTAACTATATTGATCAGAGGTGTGAAAAATCCACATCCCTGAGCACCATTGTTAAGATTACCTAAATTCTTGTGTAGACAGAATTCTTCCTTCAGCCTAGCTACTGTCTTTTGGGAAGGTGAATTATCTTACGCCCCTGGGAGAACCTCTCCTGTCGCACAAGGCAATGTCTACACTGCATATTACAATAGCATAGCTGGAGTGGTGCAGCTGTGCACTGTAGCATTTTAAATGTACAAGCCCTAAATCTAAAAGCAATATCCTAATAGGTAGTCCAATAAGATGAACTGCACAAGTTAATGAGCCAGAAAGCAGAAAATAGCTGATGTTAAGTGGGGAGGAAAGTCTAATAAATTTTTCTTTTTAGATCCACCTGCAGATTAGATTTCTGTTAAATGAGTTCAAAACATACCACAGATATTGGTAGCGTGAACAAGAGAGGAGACATTTGTCAATTGTAAAGGTCTAGGACTTAAAACAGCAGAAGAATTTTATTAAGAAAAACAATCTAAATAACTTATTGCCAAAAGCAATGCAGAACAATATAAATAACTAGCCAATTAGCCCATCATAAGGCGGGATTTTCAGGTCTCTCCTCCACGTCGGTCTTCTCTCCTGAGCCTCCGGTCTCTCGCTCCATCTCTCTCTCTCTCTCCTTCAGCTCTCCTCCACCTCCTGCCTCTATCTCTGTCTCTCTCTTTCTCTTCTCCTCCCCCTGCTGCCTCTCACTCGGGGGACCGTGGAGCCCAAATGGCTGTTTGGGCGCCGCATGCCACTCGCTTGCGCCACTTGCTGCCACGCAGCGGCCTGGCTGAGCAGCACAGAAGTCAGCCGAGCGCCACTGCGGGAGGTGAAGAGGGGCGGGGAGGTGACATTCACGGCCAGGGGGCAGGGCCTAGAGCCGCTGTCATGCCGCACGTCACAACCCCACCCCCTTTTGCCTCCTGTCGTGGCGCTCGTGGGGGAGCAAGCAGACGTTTGGGCCCCGCACTCCCCATTCAGCATGGGCTTCCCAGAGAGAACAGCCAGCATTTCAGGCAACAGCACCCACCACAGGGAACAGCCAGCATTTCAGCATTACAGACTCACAGACACTGGGCTACTATATATATGACAGGAGCTTTCCTGCCTTTAACACTGCATTGTGTGTCAGTATAAAAGCTTGAAAAGCCCCTTGTGTTTTTACAAAATTCTGATAATTTCATAGAGATAGTTAGACAATAAGGAAAATATCTGTCCAAGAGCAGAAACATCTTTTCTTAATCTCCATAGCTATGCACAGTAAAATCTCTCTTTTCCCAAAACTAAAAGTCAGAGGCCAAACTCTGCTTTCAGTTCAACCTATTTCATTCCAGAAAAGCCCATTTAGTTTCACTGGGATTGGAGCATAGAATTCAGCCCACGCTATATGATCATTCTCTGCATTAAACACATAGCTATTGACATTGGGCCTAATCTGAAGCTTAGAGATTTTTCCATGTCCTCAATGGGCTTCAGATCAAGCCTGTGGAAATGCAGTAGCAGTTAACAGAACTGCAAAATTACCTGCCTGAACTTAACTGAATGGAAACTTTCACAGGCTTTTTGACCATAAATTATGTATTTTCAGCTTCTGATATACAGCTCCATTTGTTTAACTTCACTAGCTTATTGCATAGCAAAATTTTCTGAGTAGATAAAAAAGAGAAGATATCATCACCGCTTTGTAGGAAACAAGATCATTCACATCACACATCTTATTCAAATCTTATTCTTACAGTTCTTTCTAACAGCTAAAAACAAAAACTTATTGAGCTGGATTTTCAATCTGGCCCTGCATTTCAAGTGTAACATTGTGCTCATGAGAAAATAAACTCACAGTTTTCCACTAATTATTAATTAGTAGGAAGGAGGAGTAGGGAGTCGTGCAAAGTGATGCCTGCAAAAATATTGGCACAGATAGAAAAATCAGTCCCTAGCTACAACAGAAAAGGACTTTCATTACCCACTGTATCGGCAACAGGAGCAGGGTCTGCCTTTTCCATCTCCGAGAGAAATTGCGAAGGGAGAGAATTAGTGGTGTGGCATAGCACTGATTAGCAAACCCTAGCCCTCCTGAGACAATAATCTGAAGAGCTCATTAACAATTACTCTTTTCAAAGAAGATATGAGCAAACTGGGTACAACTCACAAGGACTCTGCCGGTCAGAGTCTGGGCAGATATCATCACTCCTGCCCAGTCTTTCACAGAGGTCATCCAGCCCACTTCTGCTGCGACAGTCTCCTCTTTCTCATCTGTAGGTTTGCAGGATCCATCCGCCTGGGTCTCCCCACCACCATTAATCTTCTGGGCCTCCTGTAAAGTACAGAGAAGATTTAGAATGTTTTGCCGGGTGACAGTAACACTTCAAAAGCCTGTGACTAACGCAGAGCTAGTACAGAACTGTGATCATAAGATGGAGACTGACCATTTGGAGGTAGATCAGAGATGAGACGGCACTAAGAATGCTGTCTGTTCTCCTCGTTAGGTGATCATGATTCCTGTCTCTCTCCAGTGGCAGCCCTAACTACTAGTTACTAGCTAACGGAGCTTCTCCTTTACTTTAAATCTCAAAGGCATCTCTGGCACCAAAGATGCAGGGTTCCATCCCGTGTGCTGTGTGCAGAGCAACTGGCAACAATGACTTTTGTAATTACACAGCCACTTATTCCTATGTTTATTTATTATAAACAGATACTCATGCAAAGGCTTTTTAAATTTACAGGGGTCAACAGTAAGCGTGAACATAATGTAGGTAACATTTTCATTTTGCAATCTCTCAAATTAGTTTTCTGAACAGGTTAAATGGGGATTCCAATGCAGCAAGACAATCATTATCACAAGGCAAGGGAACCAAATGCCCAGTGAGCCGCGATGCTGTCAGTGAGCCATTGTTCCAATGGTGGCAGTTGAGATGTCAGAGCAATGCTATTATGGAGCCAAGAGATAGAACTTAAAAAGGCATCTCAGCTGCACTAAGAAAGCTGACCAATGAGTCACATTCATTGGAATTCATATCCACCATGGGCAAATACTGCAACAAGGATCTTCTACGTGCTAGTCATGGAAGAGAAACACAAAAACAGCCTGGGTTGCACTGCATTGTTTAAAAATATATCATAGGCAACAGACTGTAACAGATTGTAACAGGGCAAGAGTGTGCCTTTGGTGACAACAGACCAGCAGAGAGGGTTGTAGGCACTCACAACTACCCCAAGGGCTCAGCCCCTTGCAGGATCACATCTCTAGAACGCACTCGCCTAGTGAGCAATCACTTGAAAACGGCTATCAGTTCCTTGTGGCCAATCCCCACATGTCAATCATATGTGACATTGACAGGGGGTTATCAATAGGGAACCAGACCTGATGGATATACAGTTGTTGTAAGATAAGCATGCAACCCTGAGTGTATTAAAGTACAAAGCCAACAAAGCCACTTCCTGGGAACTGAACAGTATTGCACTTAGACAACAATCATGCTGAATTTAGGAACAGCAAGACCAACAAAGTAACGTGGAATAGGATTAAGAATGGGTAACCAGTTAATGGTTACGTGGTAACCATCACCTTTCGTGGGTGATGCTTACTTGGTAATGATTAACTGGTACCCTGGAGCAGTCCCTACCCTGTGGCCCCATCAGTCCCGAGCAGTGCTGGGAGCTGGCAGCCCCACACAAGGGCCAGCCACAGAAACCCCACACAGGGGCCAGGAGTGACAGCCCCACATGACAGTCCCCCCCCCCCCCCGGGGAGGCAGCTGCAACCCGATGCATACTGGCAGCCAGCAGTCCCACACAGGGCTGGAAGCAACCTTGCTGGAGCAACCCCTATCTGAAGCATGGGGACCACTCTAGTCTGACCGCAGCAGGCTGGGAAGCCCCTCCACCTGCCTTCCTTTAATCAGTTAACTGGTTAACCAGTTAATTGGGATTTTACATCCCTACTGTGGAGCTGGTCAATTGTTCTCCCAGACTCCCAATTTTGGATCTCAATTAACCAATGAGATCGCTCCCTTAGTTTTGGCCATCTTCTAAGTAGTGCCATGGGGGTGTCTCTTGGAACTGAACAAATAACAGTAGTGTTGTTAAACGAATTAATCAATCACGGTTAAAAAAAAAGTATAAGTACAGTCCAGTATAACTCAGTGGTAGGCAACCTGCAGTAGGAGAGCCACATGCAGCCCATCAGGGTTCTATGTGAGGCCCACGAGACATGTAGTTTATCTCTGCCCATGCACAGGATTATCAAATCGTTTTTCGTCCACTTAGTTTTTCCCCTACAAAAAGTGACATACACTTAAAACAAGGGCATGTGAAGTGAGGCACATGCTGATTGCACACAAGAGGTGTGCACTCCCTCTGCATCCAATCAAAGCGCTTCTATGGTTCAATCGCCCCCTCCCCCCGACACACAAATTCTAGATATGTAAGCGCAGTTAGCAAAACAACCCCCCTCCCCCTGACACACAAATTCTAGATATGTAAGCGCAGTTAGCAAAACAACACTATCCCGGGAAACTGTCTTGGTTACGACAATCTTGCAACCCACTGAGTTGAAGGAGGACCTCCCATGCAGGCCACTCACTAGCCTAGATTGTGCCTCACTAATAAAACATCTGTGGGAAGGATAACAGTCACTTTCCTTCTATTTGCATACCTGTACCTCACTCACTCATCCATATGGATATGATGAATCAGACACTGCAATCAGCACTGAAAGAAAACTACTGCATTCCCTATGCATAAACCAACCCACAAAAAAGAGCTTGTTGTTTTAAGCAATAATTACTACGGAGGCACAAGACATTCCCTGAGGATTCAAGGCAGACTACAGTACCCCTTTCAGAAGTCTGATTTGTCTTGTGTACCCCAAGTTTCCCCTTACTGAAAAACTGCTTGTTTACAAAAACAAACATAAACATACAAAAGTGTCTCAGCCCACTATTACTGACAAATTGCTTGCTTTTTCATTTTTACTCTATAAAATAAATTGATTGGAATATAAATATCATCTTGGTGTGAACTACATGTTGCAATATGAACAAGTCATTGACTGCGTGAATTTTAGTTTGTATTGATTTCACTGGTGCTTTTTATGTAGTCTTTTGTACAACTAGGCATTTATCTAGATGAGTTGATGTACCTCATGGAAGAGAGTTGCATACCCTTGCTTGAGAACAACTGACCCTAAGTACCACCAAGGTATTGCAGTTAACCATCAGGAAATGCCTTGTAATAAAGTTAGTATTTCTGTTATAAAATGTGAAAAGAAAGAAAAAGCCCCGTCGATTTTCTTTTCTGAATGGTTATTGGCATACTTAGGGTATTGCTATCGAAAGAATGTGTGGTGAATTAACCAATTCAGTTGCTTCTCCTTTTATCTGTCTGGTAGAGTAGTAACCTACCATAAAGATGGTTGAAACACAATTGTCATATGTGGATCTCTGTGATTTTTCATGCTAATGTCACATATCTCACATGTGATTTTCAGAAGCAGAAACCACTCAACTCCGCCTGAGTCAATACAAGCTGTGAGGTTCTCAGCATCTCTCAGAATCAGAGCCCCAGCTACCTCAAGTTGAACAGTTAAAATGGGATGTACTGAGAATTACTAGATATTTTACCAAGTGTGTGCCTAAGAAGGAATATGAATGGTTAATGGTTAACCGGTAAGCCTCTCAGAGTATGTCTACACTAGCCCCCTAGTTCGAACTAGGAAGGCTAATGTAGGCATTCGAAATTGCAAATCAAGCCCAGGATTTAAATATCCCACACTTGATTTGCATCTTCCCGGCCGGTTGCCATTTTTTGAAATTTACAAGTCCAGACTAACCTCATTCCAGGAGGAATAACAGATAGTTCAATTTAGGGCTTTATTTCAAACTACCGGGTCCCTGCCGTGTGTAGACGTGGGCAGTTAGTCCGGACTTGTAAATTTCAAAAATGGCGACCGGCCAGGAAGATGCAAATCAAGAGCGGGATATTTAAATCCCAGGCTTGATTTGCAACTTCGAATGGCTAAATTAGCCTCCCTAGTTCTAACTAGGGGCCTAGTGTCCGGACTTGTAAATTTCAAAAATGGCGACCGGCCGAGAAGATGCAAATCAAGTGTGGGATATTTAAATCCCGGGCTTCATTTGCAATTTCGAATGCCTACATTAGCCTTCCTAGTTCAAACTAGGGGGCTAGTGTAGACATACCCTTACTGAGTAATGCGTACCAGTACTGGTTAACTGGTGGCAGGGTCTGGGGCAAGTCCCCACTTGGTGCAAGTGAATGCAAGGTTTTATTGCCAATATGCTGACAGAATAAGCAATCTCACTTCCCCTAAATACAAGTGCAAATACTATGGTTGCCTGCATTTATTCTGTGATAAATGTATATTAAGAGTAGGTGCAGGTCCCCCAAGCTCCTGGCAAACTGCCAACATTAATTACTAGTCTTACCAAGTCTGAAGAGTCCCTCATGGAAATTTGGTAGACAAGTCTACAGTATAATTCCATACAGTGATGGCTTCCGTACAGTGAGGCCGTTTCCTGTGTTACCCACCTACTTGCACAATTTCTCCCTGTCCTCTTGCTCTTGTTACTGTGCTACAGGTGTGGTTTCAATATATATTGTGAAACAGAAAAATGGGAAGAGTACAACCATGCCTGGTAAGTGAAGAGTCTCAAAGGCCCATCCCCTGATATGGTACATTCACAGACATCATGGCTATTACTATACTGAGGAATACCTGGCATCTAAATTCATTCAATGTTCTATAACTGATCCAACAGATATTTAGAAAAGTAGTTAGAGTACTTGCCAAGAAGGTTATACATCTATTTTTCACTAAAATAATTAAAATACACATAAAAATCACATAGCATGGATATACATACACAGTTTGGAAAACTGCATACTGTTAAGAAATTAATTAATCTCATATAAACCACACTGTTATGCATTCTACAGAGGCAGAGAGATAATCTATGTAAACTGGGAATAGTATTTCCCAGCAATGAAACATGCACTGCATGTGCTTCTGCTTAATTGGAAGAATTTACTTTCACTCTTGGAGCATTTTAGAAGACCCAGCAAATGTCCACAGTGAGGTATGGGAATGGCCCTGTTAATGTACATTGTATATCATAAGGTCTGATTGAAAGCAATTGGCATGTGAAAAAAGAGTGCCTTGCAAAGGAGAATTTAAGACTTGGTTAAAAAACAAATCCTTACCTCTAGATAGAGATGGAAATGTCATTTGCCTTTGCTGCCTTTAAAAAGAAAAGAAATCCTCTTCTAAAATGTCTCTAACTCTGTACAGTATGCCGC